ATGATATTGGGGTCAATGTTTTCTAAGTTAGGGGGAGGATGTCCAAAGTCATTTTTTATTTGCTTCAGTAGTCTTGTTTAAATAACAAAGCAAATTCCAGGGGGGCGGGGGGGGGGTCCAATCTCCCTTCCCACTCCCTGTCCCTGAAATAACAATCTATTTTGTGATTCCAATTAAATAGTATATTTTTTTCCATTTGACGAATTATACATATTTTGTTTCTTGTGTTTATATTATGTCTGTCTATTTGTCTGCAGAAATTATAACCTTGCCCATAAGTTTTAAGTGGGATGGGCTTTACAAATGGCTTCCACATTTTATAGGTTTATTTCTTGTGACAATTAAGACCTTTTATTTGGGTACCATTAATTTTTACCTCTGATCTCTTGACCTAGGATACACATTTTTACAAGAAAAATACCAAACTTTAAACTTGGCCTAAATTTTGATCAGTAGGTGCTAGGGCTTTCATGCTTATCATGTGTATTCACTGTCAACAGGTATAAATATGTTTGACCTTGAACTCTAGGGTCAAATCTTGACCCTAGAATTTTAACCACTTAAAAAAAAAATTACCTTGGCAATTAACCTTTGAACAGGAAGTACAAGGGATTACTCATTTCACATGTGCATTCCTTGTGACAAGACCTTCTTCTGATATCAACAATTTGAACCCTTTGACCTTGACCTTTGAGTTTGACATATATTTGAGAAACTTCAACCTTCGCCATACCCTAGACTTCCATACAGGGACATCAGTGTTTCACAAACACATATTGTCTTCATTATTATTTGGTGGTGTCTCCATATGAGGGAAAATGAACAAATTACTAAAGAAAATATAAAACATGAATATGTTGGTCATGCATATCTCTGCATGAAAAAAAAACAGCTTTTCAAACACTGTAACCATATTGTAACCCTTTCAAAACACTCATTTGAGCTTTTCTGGTTTCCTTATCATATAACGTCTGTTGTGACGTGTCGTCCGTCTGTTTGTCTGAAAACTTTTTACATTTTTAACTTCTCTAGAACCACTGGGCCAATTTTACCCAATTCATATTGAAATATGTACATTTGTATGTCAGACTGTCCATCTGTCTCAATAAATTTAACCTTGGTCATCACGGTCATATCTACTGAATGAGAAGAGACAAGACATTCATATTAAACGTATGTACATGTACTAGTATTTACCTGTGAGAATGGCATGGGTTTTTTTTACATGTGACCTAGAAGTTTGACCTACTTGTAAAAAAATTAAATTGTTATAAATTCATCATTTTGAAAGAGAAAAGTCAGGGCATTCATATTATAATGCATGTATATTATTACCTGTTATAAGACCTTTCCAAATAAATCATGACTTTTACTCTGTGATCTTGACCTTGAACCCTAACCTACTTTTCAAAAATGTTGCATTTGCTGATAATTTTGAGATGAGATATGACTCTCACATTTGACATGTACATTAATTATTCATAAGAATTCAAAGTGTTTCCCAGCATGCAATGCTTTTTTACCCCTTGACGTTGATGTTTTACATAATTTTCAAAATATTTAACTCGCCTAAAAGATGATTAGGGTTCTGAGTAACATTAAGGATGACTTCAGGCAAGACAGGGCTTTTTGCACAAAAAAAAACATTTTTCGACCCTCATTTGACCCCCGGGGCAAAATCAAAATTACGAAACCTTACTGCAAATCTACATGACACCACCAACCATCTCCCAAAAGATGATTAGGCTACTTTGTAAAATGTAGGAGAAGTTCAGGGAAGATGGGGCTTTTTGCATAAAAAACGTCATTTATTTACCCCTTTTTGACCCCCTGGGGCATAATCAAAATTCCGAAACTTTACTGCACATCTATATGACACCACCAACCATCTCCTAAAAGGTGATTAGGCTGCTGAATAAAATGTAAGAGGAGTTCAGGGAAGATGGGGCTTTTTGCATGAAAAACGTCATTTTTCGACCGCCATTTGACCCTCCAGGGCAAAATCAAAATTCCGAAACCTTACTGCACATCTACCTGACACCACCAACCATCTCCCAAAAGGTGATTAGGCTGCAGAATAAAATGTAAGAGGAGTTCAGGGAAGACGGGGTTTTTTGCATAAAAAACGTCATTTTTCGACCTCCATTTGACCCCCCAGGGCAAAATCAAAATTCCGAAACCTTACTGCACATCTACATGACACCACCAATCATCCCCTGAAAGGTGATTAGGCTGCTGAGTAAAATGTAAGAGGAGTTCAGGGAAGACGTGGCTTTTTGCATAAATTACTTTATTTTTCGACTCCCATTTGACCCCCCGGGCAAAATCCAAATTGTGAAACCTTACTGCACAGCTACCTGACACAACCAACCATTTCCCAAAAGATGATAAGGATACCGTGTAAAATGTAGAAGGACTTCAGGGAGGACGGGGCTTTTTGCATAAAAAAAACATCGTTTTTCTACCCCCATTTGACCCCCCGGGGCAAAATCAAAATTCCAAAACTTTACTGCACATCTACATGACACCACCAACCATCTCCCAAAAGATGATTAAGCTACTGTGTAAAATGTAGGAGGAGTTCAGGGAAGAAAAGTGTGACAGACAGACGGACGGACAGATGGACGGACACGAGTAACAACAATATACCCGAACTTTCTTTAGAAAGTGCGGGTATAATGAAATATCATATTTTGTTCTTGATATATGTTTCAAGGCTCTTTTTTCTATTATTTGGTCACATTTCATTCTCCAATTGCTTTATATTTTTACGTGTATGACTTTTTAAAATTCAAAGAATATTTTTTTAACTTTTGAATACTTTTTTACCATAGTAACGTATGTAAAAGTTGACTTACTAGACATGTTAATCATACATTTGAGACAACTGACCATCAACATTTGGAAACAGTCATTGCCAACTGTTTGCTTTGCCGCAATTGTTAACTATAGGGCTCTAAACATGTTAAAAATGTCTTTTTCAAACTTTAAGACATGTTGCCATGGTAACTATAAAACATAGCAACCAATTTTTGCCTGATTTCAGTTTAGGGTATCGATGACTTTTATCATAGAGAGTTTGGAGAAATTCTGAGACTATGCATGCCACAGCTCTTATATAAAATTTCAAATCATTACAGATAATGGCTCTTAAATCCTAACCAGCAAAGGTTTAGGAAGACAGAGTCCCGAATGACATTGGGCCGATCATGCATGTGTTTAATATCCACCAGGATTGTATTAAATTCCGCAGTAAGAGGTTAACTAACTTCTTTCTCAATTTGACCCCATTTCTTCACCACTTTTCATAAAAATAAAAACGACAATGATAATTGTTCGCTTTTCATAAGCATGTTAGTTTATTCACTGGAACTCTTGAAGAGTACCGGAATGACTCATTTTCTATATTCCTTTTGTTACATAATTCCTTCTAGATTTTTGGACTTGAGCGACCAACAGGTGTTGGGGAGTGGAGACCTCCCTGTATGACCTGTATGAAATGCAACCAAGACAGTCAAGATTCAGCTTTCCACTTTTTTATTAAATTAAACAATTTATTTGTAATTGCTATGATTACAGTAAATAATTTCTAACAATGTACTATAAATTATACTAAACATTGCTAGTTATAATATAAAAGATTGTAGCCTGTAACTAAATTAAGCCATGTGAAAATGTTTATAATTTGACAAAAACCGGGCCGTTCATTTTATACTAGGTGTACCTTTGTAGATTTACATCTCCATATTTGTAACTCCTTCGAAATTTGCAAAAATTACTTTAAATTTTAATTTGAATTTAATTACTATTACTTCTGATCTTGAGTACGTTTTAGAATTTTTATGCACTTTTGAAATAATTTCCAATCTTTTGCATAATCTTTCAAATATCATTTGTTGTTATTCGAGCTAATTTATCCAAATATCTGACCTCTGGTCACTTCAATACTATTTATTGGTTCCTTCTTCATCCTAACCAAATACATTTTTTAATAACTAGTAAGTAGCAACTGCACTCCCATGATTTATTTCGTGGGACTGTCCGGTTTAAAAGTTCAATTCCTATTGATTAGCCTCTTTAATTACTTTTATCTGTAGAGCTCGCGTTCCTTTGTCAGACAAAAGTGCAAACTCATAGCATCCGTTTTATTCTTATATTTACTACAATTTTTGTTATGATAATATCTTAATACAGTTGATTTCTCGTTGATATTAAACCTAAATTATCTGCAACCTAATTCCAAAAAACTTTTATTTAACACATTGTCTAGCATCTGGGATATATAAAACCGACAATTTTTGATAGATTGTAGAAATACCCGAAATACGGGCACACAGTCACAGGTTTCCTCACTACATCTTCTGCTTCTGATTGGTTTGTGTATCTAAAAATATCTTTTTGCGGTTGGCAAAGCTACCTTAGCATGTCCCACTTTCCGCTGTTCATCATTTTGGGCGCTGTCGTTACTATCGAGATCGCAAAGGGGTCAGTTGTCGTAAAAATACGAGACGTACTCGATGACGATGCAGATATTTTAATAATCATTTTTAATCAGAAAATATAAGTAGTAAATTTCAATTTACAATATTATAAAGTATTTAATTATCAAAAGTTAATAAAAACTACTACTGACATTACTTTGAATGCGACTTTTATTCCAATTTGTGTTAGGTAAAATGCTCACACTCATAAAACATTAATTTGAATATTTGGAATTGGAAATTTACATCAAATTCATCAAATCAATATCTTGATTAATGAAACAGGCTGAGTACGTAACTATTAGCCAATCATTTTCAGTGATTGATGTATATTTTGATATTTATATTTGGCGTTCTGTATACTAGATAACAAATTTCTACAGGTACCCCACAACTCAGCCAGTAGTTCTAAGTACAATTTACGATATGGGCGCTCCCTGTGTTATTATTTTAGTTTTGGTTTTTTTAGCGGTGTGCCAATCTACCATTATTTCGAGGAAATACACCGCACAACTGGAAATGGATAATAAGAAGTCAAATGAAGACCTTTTGGGAGAACACAACTCTACATCAGTTATAGAGTGTGCAGCGCGTTGCCAAAGAGAGTGTAATTTCTATGGGTTTAATCCACAGACGAATAAATGTCGGACCCACACGAAAGTTTTTAAGTCGGGGATGTTAAATGAGGGTGGTTGGAGATACTACTCACATGTCTGTATGTATATCTGTTAATTTGCTTTATTTCATGTGCCACAAATTTAGATTAATATTATGATTTTTTATCGCTCAGCATGGCTAAGTAATAGTTTTCATTATTATTTCTAATCACTTCAATTTCTGTAATAAGAATACCAGCATTAAGGAAGTATATTTTCCTATTAGTTATTTCTATGGATTGTATACACATACCAAGATTTCAGCATTATTTTCTATTAGTTCTTTCTATGGATTGTATACACATACCAAGATTTCAGCATTATTTTCTATTAGTTCTTTCTATGGATTGTGCATACATAATGTGATTCCAGTACTATTTTTATGATTTTTTTTTCTCTACAATGTATATACATAGTACATGTAAGATTCCAGCTTTATTTTCTATTAGTTCTTTCTATGGATTGTATGTACATTTAATGATTCGAGTATCATTTTTATGAGTTATTTTTGTGGAATGTATTTACACAGTATGATTTCTGTATTATTTTTAGTTATCTTTAATGGATTTTAATTTTTTCTGCTTTAGTTATTCCCGTAGACTGTAAGGATCTTCAATTAGACGGATACTTTAATTCAGGGGTGTATGAAATCTACCCCAATGGAACCATCACCAGTCCTGTCCAGGCATACTGCGATATGACCATAATGGGCGGGGGATGGACGGTTTGTAGTTTATTTTAATATTAAAGCACATTATACAATGTATTTAGCACTCAATGTTTTTGTTGTTTAAAAGGATATAAATTGAAAAAAATATGAATATTTTTTGATTACCCGGTATAGCATAACATATTGATCACACAACTGTTTAAACACATGATTTGCTATACGTGTTAAATTTAAAGGCAATCCAAAAACGAATTTCTGGATCCCTGGAGTTTAACAGGAACTGGACGGAATATAAAAATGGATTTGGTTCACCGGTACAGGATGTCTGGGTTGGTAAGTGTAAATTCTTTTCCAATGGGAACTTTTCATGCCTTCAAAGTTTGAAAAATAGATGTGTCAGGTAATGGATTAAAGCGTAACAAAGATCTGAATTTAATACTAGGTAATATGTGATCTACGTCATTTACATATCATGTTAGATTTATATATCAAATAAAGAGAAAAAAAGAAGGAAAGAAAATAATTTAGCGGCATATTTTTTTATGAGACCAAAGTAAGCATTACTGTCTACAGCCAAGGAAAATAATTTGATTGTTCATTACGACAGATTCATATTTATAATAGAATTAATTGTATTGCAATGTGTTTTTTAGCTGATTAAACATACATCTTAATACAGGAAATGACGTAATCCATCAATTAACAAAAGAAAACAACCCGGCCCTTTATGTGTCCATCACTCTCCAGAATGGAACAACGCTTTATGAAATGTACGACCGATTTTTTGTCTCCGACGAAGCAGGAAAATATCAACTCTTTCTTGCAGGACCTGCCACGGGAACTTTAGGTAAGTGTATCTACGTTAAGTTCTTAAAATTAGGTTCCAATTACGTATATTATCATAATAATACTCTTATGTATTGAAATATTATTTTAAAGTTTTCAAAAAAGAGAAAGATATTTTTTTTCTGATATTTTTCTGATATTCTGTATATGTTTTTATTCCATGCTAATTAAACATGTTTCATATTTCAAAATATCATTTGCAGATACAATTAACATAATCAGCAGATATTGAATCTGTTATTGTCAAGTAGATACAATCTCTAATTATACGTTTTATGTACAAGGAAAATTATGTTAATTTTTTTTTTACAAACAAATCCAATATTTTCATTTGTTCAACATTGTTTTTCAGCTTGAGTTTCCTGATAATTTTTGATAATTCACATTTTAAGTAATACTAAAAAAATAGTTTACAGAGCATGATAGTCTGATTTTCAATGATTCACCTTTTTACTACTACGGAATAGGAAGTTTACAGTGTGTCATTAATCTTAAATGTCGAAAGGTTTACGAAAATTTGATGATAGAAAAATTTGATCGGATAAAATAAAAAAAAATAAAAAAAAAACCTAAAAAGCCAAATTCAAAAGACCTCAACGCGTTTCACATTTGCATTTATTTAATAGGAAATCTACCATCTTATAATATTCACAGATACACCATATCTTATCTCGTTATTAATGATTTACTTAGTATTTCATGTTATACATGTTTAAAGGCACGGTCTCGGACAAATATGAAAATTTCATTTTTTCATGTTTTCTAAAATTTCCAGGGACCTTTACCCCCCCCCCCCCCCCAATAATACCATGCTTAAAAATGTAACACGTCTGTTGTTTATTGTTACACTAGAAAGAATCTATGTGTATTGCGCAGTGTTTTGTTTTGTATTATTTTTATCTCTCTTTACAGGAAACAGCACGTTAAACTGTGTGTCTCAGACGTACTTCAGTATTAAAATTAATGTGATGTAAATTTATAATTATTATATCTGTTATATATTTTCTCTTATTCTGCAGGTACCGGTATTATAGACACCCTGGATTCTAGGACTGAACTATATAAAAATTATCACTCTTTCCAGCACCAAAAGCCGTCTATCTTAGAATTACCTCAGTATTATTATTGACGATTAGATTGAAAAATATACAAATCAATAATCTCTGTGATACATTTTGTTTAATTTTACAGGTGACGCTATGTTAGACACCCGCCATTCTTCCTCCAGTCTGTCTGGGATGTACTTCAGTACCCCAGATAGAGATAACGACGGGGCTAGTGGATTTAACTGTGCTGCTTACAGTGAAATAAGAGGAGGCTGGTGGTTTAATTACTGTCACATGGCCTTCCTTAATGGCCCATGGTCCCCGCAGTCCTGGATCAACCCATGGTCTCCCACAGTACAGAGTGGGACATCAGTGAAGGGGACCACCATGATGGTTAGACGGCACTAGGTAAACCTTATTTAATCTTAATAACATTTTTTTTTTGTTTTAGTATTACTGTGAAAATTTCAGTTATAAAAGTTTTTCTTTATTGAAAAAATACTATTATACATGTCTCTGTGAAGTATTAATTTAATTTTTTTCTAACAGACGAAAGATCAACCATGGTTTTGGCAAACCCTCAAGAGAAGATTTTAAATTAATTTTATCGCTGAGTTCTTTTTTTTAAATATTTAACATCAAGTAAAAACATGTAAACAGATATGTTTTCGGTAAAGGAAGGGGGTTGAGCTGTTCTGTTTTAGCGATACTGAATGTATTCAGTAAAAGATGTAGTTTATATGTGTTGTAATAAATTCGAAATTAGAAATATTTCGTTGTTATTTAGAAACACTGATAAATGAAAATGTCGGGGCGGAGAATTGGGATTTAGATTGCTTTATTGTTAAACCTATTATAGTGGAACCTGTTTAATCCGACACATTTGCAATATGTTTTACTGTGGTGTCCGCCATTTTATTTCATTTCTCATTTATACTGTCTTATGACAACGATCTTTACACGCTGCAATGCTACACTTTGTTTATTCTGACACATACATTTGTAATCTCTATTCCCCGTACAAGTCGAATAAGACAGGTTTTATGTAATAAGGAAGTAAAGATGTTTATAAAAGAAATATTAGGTATATTTGATGTTCATGTTTGCAGTATAATACGTAAAGGATTATGCTTATCTAAAAAATATCCTTTTCTTTTTCCACCCATACATTATTTTGAATGGATGAACATTTATTATCCATTAATCTACTATACAAAACCCACTTAAATTGATATTGTTAATTTTAATATCATGGAGAAAATAAGCTAAAAAGTTGAGGTAACACGTACTGAATATTTCTTTCCACAAATATAATTATACCATAAATATATTTAAATAGCTTGAATTTTAAGTGCGCCAAGAAACGCAATGATACTAGATTATGAGCTTAAAGTAAAAAAAAATACATTCTCTGAAGATCAATATCTTTTACTCCTACTTATTATCATTTGAAAAAGAAAAAAATAGTTTTTTTTTTTCTTGAATGCACAAGATACGTCATAGTAAACTTATATCGATACTGCAATTTTTCTTTTTTATTTCAAAACACCATAACACAGAACGGGAGTCAAAAGGTTACAATGTGTAATAAGTGTTTTATTCTGACGTCAAAAACGTTCAATGCCGTGCAAAAGCAAAGTCATAAGTGAAAATCAAAAAAATTAATTATCTAAATTGATTGTTACTTACGTTAGAGATAATTCCAGTATTCTTAATAATAAATCAAATTCCTGATAAAAAATCAAAACAAGACAAGGAGTTTGAAAAAGTTGATATATAAGCACTGATTCATTAGTTTTTGAAAGATGTAGTCTAATATCTGTAACGATTTATGCAAACGAATTTTCATACCGCGCGCTGGCGCATTACTCAATTTTGCTCTATACTCAGCACTTACGGCTTTTGAGCTGTGAGGGATCTTTTTCATGCCAGCACCTTCTGCAACAAGGGACCTTAATTGGTTTATTAAAGTATAATATAAGATATTTTAATAGTGTCTCATCAGAAGGACAGGTCTCCGTGTCTCATAGTAAGATTCGAACATGCGATGTAAG